GTACATGATAGTTCTAGAAACGTTGCGTCATAGTAGTCACGTGACTCGCTGACGCAACAATACATTTACTGTATATTCAGCCACTTCTCGAAAGGTGGAAACACATACGCTGTTGTTTATTGTTTGTTTATTAGCACTGTGCTACATAATGGGCTATTTTTGCTCTCTCCACCGCGGAGAATCGAACCCAAGATTTTAGCGTTATAAATCGGATACTTATTACTGAACCCTAAGGGACATGCTGTGGTTGTGCTTATATAGCAATCTAATCCCTGTGTTTAAATCAGATGCGTGTATATTATAGTAACAGAGGATTATCCTAGATTTGTGTCAGAAAAAAGGGTGAGAGATGTGTTGGGAACTTTGCATAAAGTACAAGGTTTTGAAGAGCCGGCAAAGTAAACTGAGTAACAAACGCTATTATTATTGTAGTTTTAATGGAAATATTTCGGAATATCATAAGAGATCAACAATGTAAAGATTTACCTCATTTTTTTATTCATCGTTATTTTGAGACTACATTTTTGCAAATATATTATTAGTGAAGAATTCCTCATGGGTTCTTATTTTAACTCAACAACAACTTTTAGTTGGTTTGCAGAACTGTAGGTGGATAAAATTTTTTATTCTGAAGACAATTTGTTTCAGTATGGTTGAAGAATTACAAGTGGTTAAGTGTTCTAATTCTGAAAACATTAATTTGATATGACTATAATGGTGTTTTTATGGTAAATGTACAAGTACCAAATTATGCCTTTTTTTAAAAAAAGAAATACCACGAAATCAAATATTAGTTTAGACTGAATAATTTGTATTAATGATGTATTTGAGGAAACGGTAAATGAACATCATGAGTTTTGTGTTTGGAATTTACCCGTTATTTCTACTGATATTTCGTTTGAAGAATATTTTAACCACATAGATTTTACCAGAAAAGTGGGACAATACATTCTTAGCAAAAAAAACAAAAAAACAAACTAAATAAACTGTATCTAATTTCTATTACTTTGTTATTTATGCTGCTAGAGGGCGATACTGGCTCGAATCTAAGATGAACAATTAATTTGTAGTAATAACAAATTGTTTATACTCAACGTACGACTGACATTTATGTATAATGTTTTTAAAAGCGACATTAATATTTAAAAATATAGCTGAAAATATGAAAAACATTAAAATAGTTTAGGTAGAAAATCGTTATGTCATTTCCCTTGATCACAATTCTCAGTTGACCTAAATATAATTTTATTCTCTGATTGTGTCAGAACGGTAAATTAACGGATAGCCCAATGTGGTTTTGCTCTAAAACAAACATGTACCCTACTTTAGTAGTATTAGATATGCAGGCACTCCAGTGGCAAGTTTGTGGGCTTATAACGCTAAAATCGGAATTCAATACCTGTGGTGGGCACAGTATAGATAGCCCATTATGTAGTTTTGCGCTTAACGACAAACAATCAAAGCAGGTCCGTAAAGAAACTTAGTTCTTGTAACAACTATAAAACTGGACCATGTCAGAAATACAGGTGTTTGCGTCAATGTCATTTATGCTTGTTTGTTTTTAAACGGAAAAACACACAACAGGGTGCGGGTATCGAATCCAGATTTTTAGTGTTATAAACTTAAGCTATCGCTGAATCACCAGGAGGAGAAATTTATTCTAAGTTAGTTATTTCCTCATCTATAACAATATCAAACTGTAGTGGGTAACATATTTAATATTTTGACCTTGTTAGGCTGTTATATTCATAATATAATCCGTGTTACTTGATGAGAATGTATGTCTGATTTTTTCCAAAGAAATCTCATCCTTGAGGCAATCTTTAACCAGCAAAGTATATATTATTCTGTATCTAAAAAAAAGTACCAACTTTTGTTTTCAGTTGGAAAATCCATTCGCCGAAAAAATGACTAAATTTGTCGTTTCCACTGAATGTGGAATGCTTATCCTTCAAAAAGTACGTTTGAGCGAAACATTTCAACCTTTTCATTGTTTTCGTTGGTATGTACTTCAGTCTGTATATGAAAAGTGTAGGAGATATTTTTATGCAACTGTTTTTGTTTGTTGGAAATTTCAATAATGATCAACTATACATAAGAACAAAGACCGACAACTTGTGTTTGAAAGGCAATTTAATAACGAAGCCACAGAAATCTACACAGAAAATAATAAATATAACGGTAGGGAAGGCCGTTTATTAAATAAACATTGAAGATAAAATCTTTATATCCTTGAATTTTAGCTCTAAATGGTTGATATGACACATCCTGTAAAAAACTGGATTCATATTCCCACACAATACAGAAAATGGCTTACTGATAATGTTATAAAGCATCTATCTCAATATCTTCTGTCTTTAGTTACAAGAACATTTATTGTTGCTTTCTTTATTGTATTTTACAACTACTCGTGAATTACAAGAAAAAGAAAGAAAATCATCGCTGTCAGTTCTTACTAAAGACATTAGGCCTATTTTTAAAAGAAGATATGAAATTAGTACACCGGCTAAAAATCGTAAACAAGATCAAAAAGCTAATAAAACATACAATAAACTTTAAATTTTCTAACAAAGAGAGGGAGGATTAACTGCACTTTATATAAACGATTTGGATATGCTAATACAATATAGTATCACTAGTGCTCACCACAGATTATAACCGGGGCAATATGTTCAGCATCAGTATACTGGGATGACATTAAATTTCAAATTATCTAACAGTGCAATTCCGCCACGGGTAAACTTATATCTGGTGGTTTGTGTTACACTCTTTCAGAAGAAGGATATTCACCTTAAAGAGAGATAGTAAGAAGATGCAAAGGCCGGGGCAAACCAATTTCAGGGACGGCTATCTATGCTGTAACGAACTATAAGGGAAGATCAGAACACGTTCTCTTATGATCCGAAACTACGTAAACAGCAATCCATCACGTGCCGAACTGCCACTACTATTGCTGCAGTATTTAGTCCAATCATTAAGGAACCTCCTTTCATCCAGAAAGATCTTATCCTTGTAAAGAAACATGAACTGCTCTCCATATAACACTGAAGAGATAAAATTCAGAAAACTATACATAACATACCTTGCACGTGAGAGATGGATGAGTCCTGGGTGCACCTGAACGACTATGGCAAAAAAACAGGCAATTTGAAACTGATCACGAGGTGATAAGGACTTTCCAATATGATACAGAAAATGTAAGTAAATTTTCCTGTCGGGTTTATGATTGTTGCAGGTTTCTGATTTAGTAGGAAATATATACTTCACAAAGTTCACAGTAAAGAAATAGTGAAATCTATTGACTCTCAGAAAATGTATTGACACCAATTATTTGAGATGAATTTCCTGCAATGTATTCTAAGTACTGATGAGAGAAAGTAATAAAGAAGGTATATGGGTAGGGCTACACCAGGATAAAGAGCCAAGTCCTACCTAGATCTAGGTCCACAACAGCGATAGGATCCATGGAAAATGAAATCTGTGTTCATGTTATCCTGTTCTCCGTCATACAAGGGAAGCTACCCCTAGATTTCCCTGCATTAACTTGCTTAAACTAGTTTTAATATATTTGTTTTTGGATATTCACGCAAAGCTATTTAAGAGCTATCTTCTCTAGCCCACCATAACTTTGAATTGATAGACTAAAGGGAAGATAATAGGCCTAACATTTTAGATAAAAATTATGTAAACTGCAATTTTTTCTCCGCATTCCTTGTAATTTGTCCATTTCGGATTCCAAATCAAAGGTGTTTAAAAGTAGCATTTCAGACCTATCCTTTGCTTTCCACAAGTCATTGGAGATAAAAATATAGATCTGAAATGCTATTTTTATATAACTCTAATTTTAAATCCAATATGGATAAATTAAGAGTAAAAAAATTGTGAAAAAAAGCATCTGCCATCATCATCAAACTAAATCCATGTCCAGAGGAACAAACATCATTCTGTGATTGTACATAGAAAACTTTAAAGCTTTTATTGTTTTCAACTGTCTTAAATTTTAACAGAACGAGAAATAAGCGCCTCTTCATTCTGTGATTGTTGTGAAAAGCATTTTTAAAACTTACATTGTTTAAACTGTTAACTTTTAACAGAACGAGAAACAAGCGCCACTTCATACTGCGACTGTTGGCAGAAAAAATAAATATTGCATTGTTTTCAACTGCCTTAACTTTTAACATAACTATAACAGTTTTTATTACTTATATCTTTATATTAAATGGTTTTCACTCAATAGATACAAATTTTCAACAAATAAAGATAACTATACTGTTACTTACATCACAGACTATTATAATTCAATCAACCTTTTTGCTATATTGGTATCTTTGAGTTTTCATTTAAAGACAGGCGATTTCATTCGACCAAGCAAGATTTGCTGGTAAGGAGAAGAGTTACATGTTATTTTTTAAATGAAGATGCAAAGAGTACAGATGACGATGATGAATAAATATTCAAAAAAGAAACCTATACTCATAACAAACGAACAAAACTACAACTATAAGAAAAATGTAAGTAAACAATTTTTCCAGTATTATTATGAAACATTTGATGTAGGCTTAGAAAGCAGGCAGAAAATTCATTAAGATGGAGGAATAAAACAAGACAAGTTAGTCAAGAGCTAAAGTGAAGGTTTGTTAAAGACGGACTGTTAGAGGCTTATGAATGTTTTATATTCATTAGCACTTCCGAAAAGATGTGTACATTATTAGAAAATAAATCACTTGACATATACAAGGAAGATTTAGAGAACTGACCGGTACCGTGATTGGTTTGAACAAAAAAGCCATGAATTAAGGTCATATATGTTAATATGGAAACGTTATTCATTAAAACTGTAATAGAAACAATAACATAAACCATTCCAGAAGATATATATCTTCATTATATCATTGGTGGTGCTTACTGTTTAAAAATTAAGGTAAATCCGAATATAACTTATTTTTATTTGAAGCTCTACGAAAACGTAAAATGTCATTATTGAAATTAGACAAGTTTCAAAACCTTACAACTTAAAGTCAGAGCACTGAGCATGCGCTCACCATGTTGAATTTGATTATTTTACATTTTAACAGGAGTTAAGATGTTGCAGAGAATGTTGTAAAAACGTTAAACAAAATTTGTTTTGAGGTTTAAAAGATATATATATATATACATCTTTAAATTAAATGAAGTATATATAGTATTACTGTATCTAAAACTCTTCAGATATTTCTTTGGAGATTTAGTTTTCTAACCTAACTATGCTCACTTTTAGGGACAGGTAAAAATGGTATTAAATGTTTTGGCATCTGTACGCTTAACCAAAAAAATTTAAGTTTATCGGAAATTATATTTGTAAACACCAGTAGAAGATGCTAGTTAAGTTAAGGACTCATTGAGAACAGATATAACTTCACATCAATATCGTCATAAAGACTTCCTGAACATAATATGTAAAGTTTTTTTTTAAAAGGAACAATTGGAGAATTATTTTGGCATTTTAATTGTTGTAATGCAAACTGGAGTGTTCGACATGTATTAATAAGTATATTATCTTACATTTCTGCAATCTTTTTTCTGCAAGAGGTACATAAGCGAAACGTTGGGTGTAAAAAAATGTCTGTTTAATTGCACAATTATTTGAGCTGAGTTGAAAAAATATATTGAGTGGCGGTTTGTTGGAGCTTGAGCTTAACAAAATCAACATATAACTCACATTTTACGTATACTTCCTCCTTATAACTCCGAAGGATTTAGTTATTAAAACATCTCATATTCACCAATTGTGTAATTCGAAAAAAAAAAAAAACTCGAAGGAAAGTCAAAATGTAATGATATTGAATCTGAAGACCCATTTTAATTTACCATTTATTGAGAGGTTCAGGTCAGTAAGAATTGAAGGATATTGGACAAGACTATAGTCAGGACAGTCAGATGTTGAAACTTCAGACTTGCGAGTTTATGTAAATATGTTATCAAGACATTTCATCACGTTTGCCCAAATATTCATTCTACCTTACGAAAATAAATTAATTTAAGATATATTATTAACTAACACCAGAGGTGTCTTAATCATTCACTGTTCCCCTCTGTTGCTGTTTTTTTTTTGTTGTTGTTGTTAAAATAAAACCATTATTATATGATAAAAAGTGAGTGTATTAGACAAAAATCTACATTGTTGAAAATAAGTGTAAATACCGTAAAAAAAAGGTGACATCCTTTTGACGAAATAACCCCTTCTTCCACACCTATGCTTCCCATTGGTGTTATTTGGCAGTTGAAGACACAGGAAGCAAAGATAAGAATTGCACTGAAAATCACTCAGACGAGTACAAAGTTTGTTACTCGGATACGAAGAGCAACAATCAATTCTTGTTTACTGTAAACATTCGTTATTTGATGATTGATCCTCATTTTCTCACACTAGGCTCGAAACTGTGGTCATCCCCTTTAGAAATCAGCGTTTTATTGTTTTAGTCTGTACGTATGGTCAGTAAAGATCCTTTGTATTTTATTACAAAAAAAAGGATTAGAGTTCGTCCTAAAAAGTTGTATGGAGCGAAATATTTTGTCATGCCCAAGTCTTGACACAAAGTTGATTGTATGACGTTGCATGTTGCATGTAGATGTAAAGTCCTGACCAAAAAATATAAAAATACGTCTTTAGGTAGATAGTCAAAATGTTTCTGACCTGTGGTCAGTATAGATTATTTAGTCTCATTATAAAATCAAAGTTCGTCTTTACTTAATATTAGTCAGAGTAATGTATTAACCTATGGTTAGTTTAAGTAAAAACTATTTATTGTCCGAACTAAGCCTTTTTACTCCTCAACATACTCAAAAGAAACATTTACAATGACTAACCTTATTAAAGTTTGACATTTCCAGTTTGGGTAATTAAGAATCTCAGCGTTTTCCATATGTACATCTTTTACATAGAACTCTCTCCGATATCTTGTCTTATATGGCACGTGAAACTTCCAATAAATTTCCGACACTCCATTGCAACAATATCTTTTGTACTTCTTAAATCATTTCTGAGAGTTTGTGAGAAGGAGTAAAATGGACAACAGCAACATGCGTAAGTCAATTAAATTTGCATATTTTTAGACTTTTGCATTCTTAAAAAACAAAAACTATGAAACATGGATGCGAATATTAGACGTTTTCAGCCTTGATGACGAGCTGCGAAACTTAGTTGAAAGCATTAATCGTTTTTAGTCCTATTGACGAACTGTTAAACTTGGTTGACTGGGTTGAAAGCATTATTCGTTTTCAGTCCTGATGACGAAGTGTTAAATTTGGTTGACTGGGTTGAAAGCGTTATTCGTTTTCAGTCCTGATGACGAAGTGTTAAATTTGGTTGACTGGGTTGAAAGCGTTATTCGTTTTCAGTCCTGATGACGAAGTGTTAAATTTGGTTGACTGGGTTGAAAGCGTTATTCGTTTTCAGTCCTGATGACGAAGTGTTAAATTTGGTTGACTGGGTTGAAAGCGTTAATCGTTTTCAGTTCTGATGACAACTGTGAAACTTGAATGTAAGTGTCAGTCGGTTTCAGCCCTGATGACGAACTGTAGCAATTAGATACAAGTGTTAATCGTTTTTAGCCCAGATGTTTAGTGCTACTAGTGTTTGAAATCATGAGGGCGGAATATAATTCGTTGTTTGGTGTTTTTGATTTTAAACAAGGTTTTTGCTCTTTATTGCCCCCGGGACGTTTGCTGAATCAAAAGATATCCACCCATGTCTTCCGTTCACTAAGTTTTCAATGCTCCTTAAGTCACCGCAGGAACTCTCGGACATTTGTGATATCAAGGAAGAAGATGGTATGTGGGAAGCAGTGCCACCAAAGGCGGATAGCGGAGAAGGTGTCCCATTTAGTGACGTCAGGGAGTACGGTACAAAGCGATGTTCCCTTAATCGGCTTCCCAAGTCCACTAAACCAGTGTAGCCATGCGTCAAGGACCGGGTTTGTAACGCTGAACCCGAGTTCGGGGGGAAGAATAGTTGAGAAAACATACTTGGGGGATATAGGTAAGGTAGTATACGAGGGTAGGCAAGGTCTGCACCAACGGGCAGGCTTTGGTTAATTGAATGAGGAGCATCAAAGGTTACGTATCCAGTGTTAATATCGGATGAAGAAACAGACTCCCAGGGGCAACCTTTCTTCCTCGGCACTTGGTTCTTCTCGGTTGTGACTTTGGCATCGGGACTAGCAAGATATAAGTTACGACATTTGTTTACTGGACCGAGTTCTTCTTGTGTTGACACTTTTTCAACGCACTCTTCTACAACATATAAAATATAACTTTAACGGCAACATAAAATGAAATTAATATCTTGTATCTAATCTGAAAAAATGAAAATTTTTCGGTATTAATTTTAAGAACTTATGAGTGAGAGCAAATAAGAATATGTTGCAATATGTGAACCACAATAAATCTTCCATATCCAGTGCCGATGAAGCCTGATACCAGGGCTCATCAGACCGACTGGGATACAACAGACATATTAATTGTTAAGCGCATTATATATATATATATATCACCATCATCAATTTCATGAACAACGACTATTATGGTTGGAACCAGATTAAGTAAGTGAAGTGTAATTATTATTAAGCTTATTTAAGTTATTTTCTACTTATATTTTTAAGGTAAGGATTAATATCACAATATTATTATTTATTTTATATTTAACATCGATTATTTGTATTCATGTATTTATGTTTAAGAACAGCTCCAAGAGTGCAAATGTTCGTCTTTTCTCAGAATTACATACAGAGGTAATGTATGGCATCGTTTTCTCTACACAGAACAATGGTTTAAAATGATAAAACACTGAAGAATAATCGTTTTTACAATATACTTCACAATGATATTGTACTTAAAACAAGGCTAAGCCTTGATTTGTAAATACGCTGTCATTTATTACAAGGACACGTGTTCTTTCAGTTAATTCATGAAATTATAAGTTTAAAAAATACAGATTTTTTATTTAGACAAAACTCTAAACTCTTTCCACATTACCTACCGTTTGAGTGGCTCTCTGAAATTGGTTTGTGGTCAACAACGCTATCTACATCAATTCTGTCATCATCATGGGTGAATTCGTCTACCAAATCTACGTCTAAGCTCTCCTTGTTCTGGTTATCTGAGTCCTTTGATGTGGCCTCCAAAACAGATGTGTGAGAGGACTGTGATTTCAGAAGTAAGCAATGGCGCCTAAAAATGAAGACAGGTGTATGTTAGAAGAAACTTTTCAAGTTAAAGAAAATAAATTACGAATTTCATAAGAAAAATGTCAAGAAAGTTCTTTAACTGAAACGAAAAAATAATAGACTTTGGACACTTTCTGCGGTTGTTTTGTGATGAAGCTTCTGTCCCAGTCCATTCAGTCAGTTGGCAAAGAGGGTGTGCACGTTCCAAATTTCTCCGGAAAGGGATGATCTTCATGGGTCAAACTCGGGTGTAAAATGCCGTGGATATTTATACAAAGATGGTGATGAATCACCACCTTTAATTCAAAAAGTTTCATCATTACCTAAACAGAGAAGCAGCCACAGACACGTATTACAAATTCATTATGCATTCACGTTATTTGAAATTAAGAAGTGTCACCAAACAATTATTTCAATGTATTCATTGTAATGCATGTGTGGTAAAGGCAACCTTACTGAAGCTAGTGTGATATCAAAATTCTTGTTTCGTGTCTGACTAGATATATCATAAATAATAAATATTAAATTTATGTGATTAACAACATTCTAATTATTATTTCAGTGTTATGTGCGTGTTTTGTTGCAAAGCCACATCCGGCTATCTGCTGTGCCCAACGAGGGGAATCGAGCCCCTGATATTAACGTCGTAAATCCGGGACTTACCGCTATTACACCGGGGAGAGGACTATTTCAGTGTTATTAATTATGAAGTTTGTAATGCTATAGATCCTGTTAATAAATGCCAATAAATAAAATATTTTTCAACAAATGTAACTGTCCTCCAGTGGCTCAGTGGCAAGTCTGAAGATTTATAACGCTAAAAGCCTTATTTCGATATCCGTTGGTGGGCACAGTACATACAGCCCCTTGTAAAGTTTTGTGTTTAACAACAAACCAAGCAAATGTAATTAACCATGAAGTCAATGTACTACTAATCACAAAATATACATGGATAGATATAGGGGTTCAAATACTTAACTCTTTACATAGGAAGTATATAAAATCCTACAAGTCACCAGGTAGTTATAAAATGAACAACTCTCTATACAGGAAGTCATTACTTAAAAATTAGTAACCTGTGGGCCTACGGCCTACATTTAAAGGGACGCTACAATGCAAAATTGATGCTGGAACTACTATTTTGCACTTTTTTCAGTTTAATGATCATTGCCGCTATAATGCAAATAGCATTTTTTAACCAAGTTACGAGCGGTAATTAGTAAACCTACTTACTTACTTGCTCTAATGTAAATCAATGGCAAATTTGGGGTCCGCTTTCGGGGATTCCCGTAAAAGTATTTTCGCAAAATACCCGGGTTCCTTAAGGGATTGGGTGAAAAGTTTTACCTTTGTGCAAATCTCGGGGCCGAGACGATTCGTTTGGCACCACTTAGAAGTTGGTGAATCCAGGAGTTTAGGAGAAGGGGTTTTCGGGAAATCCCCGGGTTCTCCAAAGAGTGGGGTGAACATTTTTACCTTTTTTCAAGTCTCAGGACAGAGCTGATTCGTTTGGTACCACTTACCAGCGGTTTAGGAGGAGTTACGTGATATACGCAGACATTGAATCCTATTTTATGTATTTGTGGAACAAGCATATGTACGTCCTAAAAGAAGGGGAGTGAATGGCCCAGGGCATCTGTGTTCTTGTTGAAACTTTCAAAGAAAAAGGCAAACGTCTTAACGTCAACTTTCTCGTCCCAGTCTGCTTGTTTAGACATTTTATAAATTGTTGACAGATTTCATTTTTAAGTTGGTAAGAAATACCCCAGTCTGTTTGTTTAGACATTTTATAACCATTGTTGACAGATTTCAGTTTCATGTTAGTAAGAATGGTTTCCTGTCTATTTTTGAGAACCTTTGTGAATTCATATTGATAAATCAAACTAACACATGTTTTGAGCGAAGATATTCTAAAAGTAGTTGGTAATTATGTATTTTATAGTTCTAAGCCAGGTGAAGACCGTGACAACCTTGGAAATGTTTTAATGGGTAGTCTTCATTACAACGATGTGTACAATAAATAATAAACACTTTTACACTGAACTAAATACTGAAATTATAAATTTCCAAATTTGATTTAATTGTTTGTTTTTAAGCACAAAGCTGCGTTGTGCCTACTGTGTATATCGAACTCTGATTTTTAGCTTATCGCTGAACCATTGGAGGGTGTCCGAAATTTGAAAAAAGAGGATATTTATGCTGTCGTAAATTAGGCCTAAATGAATCAGTGTTTTTTTCGCTGTCTACAAAGTGAGTTGCAACGTCATTCATGCATGACAATAGCCTTGACAGTCAGGCAACATTGATGCAATTTATTGATAAACTTTTCAAGACAACATTTAAAATGTTTCATACGACATATTGAGTTGTCGGCCAACTCATTATAGGTGGTTTGTTTGTTTGTAATTAAGCACAAAGCTACACAATGGGCTATCTGTGCTCTGCCCACCACGGGTGTCGAAACCCGGATTCTAGCGTTGTAAGTCCGCAGACATACCGCATTCTAGATGGAGAGGATAGAATAATATTAAAGTAGGAAAGAAGACCTACCCACTAACATTTACAAACAAGTATATCTTCAGTTCTGATTTCAGTGAAATAAAGTTTTCATCATGCACTTACGATAGCTCAATAGTTAGACGATAATTTTCTTATCATTAAGTGTTACCGTGATGTAATATTTTTTTCTATAGGGCATGCCTGTTGGTTAGAACATTCGACTTGCAATATGCGGGTGGCAAATTCGAATCCCGTCATCGAACATTCTCGCCCTTTCAACCGTGGGGGCGTTATAATGTAACAGTCAATCTCACTATTCGTTGGTAAAGAGTAGCCCAAAAGTAAGCGGTAGGTGGTGTTGACTAGCTGCCTTCCCTCTAGTCTATAACTTGAAAATTAGGGACAGTTAGCGAAGATAGCCCTCGAGTAGCTTTGCGCGAATTTCAAAACAACCAAAAAAAACACATTTAATAACAAACTATGTTTCTGATTCGTCCATTCCATGATTTTTTTAATATGTCGTCAGATCATGACTAACACAACAAGTATGAGCCATTGTACATGATTATATAATATTTTAAACAGTTGGTAGAACCAGGGTATCAGTGCGCAACGTAAATAAATCACTGATCATCCTAATAGCACCGCATAACTAGCTAGCCTCGATTTGAGATTGTTTATAAGGGCCCTGTAATGAGTCATGAGTTGAAAAACTTTGGGAATCCAACGTTACGAGACAAGATAGGCCTAGCTGGACTTATATGCCCTTAGAAAAGCGTGTTTATAGCAATCACACAAACAAACAACCGCATTAAATAATGACAATAAAAACTTGTTAAGACTTTTTTTGTGTATGTACTTACTTTTTTTCTCTCTTTGCGCCTCCAGTATCCCGAAATCCTTTGGCAAAGGGGTTGTTGTCGATTTTTAGCTGTGTTATCTGATTGTGGAAAATCAGTACAAATTATTTCTAATAGAAAAATACAGCATCTCAACAAGAAGTGTGAAAATATAAAACAAACAATTTTAATAGATACACTTATTCTCATTATAAACGCAATAATTCAGAAAGCATTTTCTCAACACCTAAACTGCTCCTCAGCTGTGCAGCGTTTCACTTAGACATTTATTCTAATTAGTCTGGGGCTAGTAATACCTAAACTGCTCCTCAGCTGTGTAATGTTTCACTTGGACGTTTATTCTAATTACTCTGGGGCTAGTAATACCTAAACTGCTCCTCAGCTGTGTAATGTTTCACTTGGACGTTTATTCTAATTACTCTGGGGCTAGTAATACCTAAACTGCTCCTCAGCTGTGTAATGTTTCACTTGGACGTTTATTCTAATTACTCCAAGGTGCCGACGAAGTTGATGGATTAATAGAGTTACTTTGGTAAAGTGCTGTTCGAAACCTGGTATCTACCATATAGTGGAGGTACTTCAGTAAATTGCAGTGCGAAACCTTTTAACTTAATGCCCGGTAAGGACCTTTTGGTAAGGTGAAATTTTGTGAAATCTGGTAACTAATGTTCACTAGAAGTACTATGATAAGGTGTTGTGCGAAACTAATGTCAACTAGAGGCACTATAATAAGGTGTTGTGCGAAACTAATGTCAACTAGAGGCACTATAATAAGGT